GGAATTCCCCAAAAGCTACAAAAGCAACCAATTCACTCCTAGAACCAGTGAGCTTTTCAGACTTATGGGATACAAAGAGAATGCACAAAAAACAATCTACGCACTAGGGATATATGGTTGGAAACCAGAACTTAAAAATTAACTTTTGTGGGGCGTCTGGGTGGGTCAGTGAGTTGAGCGTCCGGCTCCTGATTCTTTCGTGATCTTGGGGTCCTGGGATTGAGCCCTACGCTGGGCTCTGTGCTCAGCAAGGAGTCTGCTCGGGATTCCCTCTCTGCCCCTTGCTCCCTCGCTTTCTCTGAGTAAACAAATCAACAAAATCTTTAAAGAAATACAATCCTTTACCACAGCTCAAGAACGAAGGAGACGCTCGGGCGGCAACCTAAGGAAGCAGGTGCTCGTGCTGGGCGCTGCAGAATGAGGACTCAGAGAAAAAGCAAAGAGACAAATTATGTTCCTGGTTTGGAAGACAACACAGACGTCAGTTCCCCCCAAACCGACCCTAGATTTACGACAACTCCCGTCCGTGCCCTGCAGGGCTTCCTGTAGCTACGGGCAGGGGATTCTGAGACTCACCCGTTCTGGTGAAGGAACAGAGACAGCTGGGGACCCTCTGAGCAACAGGGAGGAGAGCAGGGGCTCCCAGCCCTGCAGCTACCACTCGTGGGGGCGCGTGCGACGGACGGACTGCGCTGGTGCAGACACGCGGGTGGGGGCGACAGGTCGCACATGCGTGACGACTGGGCCTCACGAAGGCACCAAGTGAGTGGACAGAGGGAGGCTGGCCGTCCGTGGAGGCAAACAGCTCACAGTCATTTCCACAAACGGCCGGATGCGGAGGAATTAACCCCAATGTCACGGCTTTGCAAAACTCAGTGCAAAATGGGTCAGAGGCCCGGGACGCCTGGGTGGCTCAGTTGGTTAAGCAGCTGCCTTCGGCTCGGGTCATGGTCCCAGTGTCCTGGGATCGAGTCCCACATCGGGCTCCTTGCTCAGCGGGGAGCCTGCTTCTCCCTCTGCCTCTGCCTGCCATTCTGTCTGCCTGTGCTTGCTCTCTCTCCCTCTCTCTCTCTGACAAATAAATAAATAAAAATAAAATCTTTAATAAAAAAAAAAAAAAATGGGTCAGAGGCCCAGGCGCGGCCTGTCACGACCGCGGGCGGGGACGGAGGTGCGCCTCCGGTATCGGGTGGCAGCAGGAGGCTCCCAGACGCCACCTGAAAGCCCGGTCCACGGCACACTTCTCCGGAACTTACTGACCCGGCCTGTGACACAGGAACCGGAGGAAAGCACCTGCAGCCGCACAGCGGACCAGCAGCGCGTCGCTAGAACCGGCCAACGGCTCTCCGGCTCAGCAGCCGCCCCGCCCGGAGAAGACGCTCCCGCCACACGAGCGGGAAAGGCAGACTCGAGCCGCAACAGAAGCCCAGCGTGCGGCTGCGGGGCAGGGGGCACGGGACCCCCACCAGCACCACGGGGAGCCCGGAGGGCGCGGCTGCTGTGTCCGCCTGTGAGGCTGTGTGACAGGACGCCCGGCTCCGCCACGCGTCCGCGGCCACACACAGCTGTGTCTCACAGTCGGGAAGGCCCGAGGCCCAGTCCAGGCCCCGGCTGGGCACTTCTTGCTGTGTCCGCAGGTGGCGGGCGGGGTGGGGGGTGGGGCTCCCTGGGGTCCCTCTCCTGAGCCCCACCCGTGACCTGTCACTCCCCTCCCAAAGGCTCTGTGTCCCAACACCTTCACCTCGGGCCTGGGTTTCAGCCGATGACTTCGGGGGCGGGGGGCACACACCCCCTCAGGCCGTCACAGCTATTCTGGAAAACGGCGCACGTTCTCAGGAATCCAAGCGACCCTTACCGTGCGACCCAGCAACACCGCTGCTCCGGGACAGGGGAGGGCGCTCCACACCAGCCTGCCAGCAAGCGCTCAGCGCAGCCGCACGCGGGACCCAGATTGGGAACCACCCAGACGCCCTCCGGCAGGTTCGGACTCTGCGCCCGGCGGTAGCCGAACCGAGCGGCGCGCGGTTTGCGGTGCTGAGCGTCCGCGCGCTGAGCGGAGGGCCGGGCCTCAGAAGGCAGTGCCCGCGGCTCCAGCCCCAGCGGCCCTCAACCGGAGAACGGGCGCCGGCTGGGGGCTCAGGGTGGGGTCCAGAGATGGAGGAGCTGCTCACGTGCTCCCGTAAGTGTGAGCAGACGGTCAGAGCCGCACCCGAAACGCTTATGACCCAACTTCCCCGCGACAAATCGCAGGGGCTGTTGGAGAAAGTGCCACCGACTCACCCGCCAGGGGCCCAGGCGAGACTGCAGGTGTGGTTCCAAGTGCCCAGGAAAAGTAAGCGTCGTCCCAGGACTCTAAACCCAGTCAACATCTAACCCAAGGCTAGAGTCGGGGCCTGGGGGCCTTGGTCAGTTGGGCGTCCAACTCTCGATTTCGGCTCAGGTCATGACCTCAGGGTCGTGAGACTGAGCCCCGCGTCGGGCTCCCGCTGGGCACAGAACTTCTCCCTCTCCCTCTGCCCCTCCCCACACATTCCCCCCAAAACAGAACCAAAAGCAAAGGTGGGACACACCCAGCTGCAGGAAGCAGAGGCCTGCAGGACAGTGCGGCGGGCGGCTACGGGGGCACAAGGCAACGGTGAGCCAAAGCAGCGCGTGGGTGCCCTGGCTGCTGTTGATGGTTTTTAGCGGTTTTTTTTTTCAGATGATTCTATTTATTTGAGAGAGAGAGAGAGAAAAGGTGCACAAGCAGGGGGAGCGGCAGAGGGAGAAGCAGACTCCCCACCAAGCAGGGAGCCCAACCTGGGACTCGATCCCAAGACCTTGGGATCCACGACCTGAGCTGAAGGCAGATGCTTAAGGACTGAGCCCTCCGGGAGCCCCCTAATAAGTATTTTTTTGTGTTTAAAACTAACATGGACTTGAAATTCTAGAGAACGTGCGGAGGGAGCAGGAGGTCAAATGAAGGCCAAAGTGGAAGTCACGCTGCGCAGAATGTCACCGGGGCAGCTGGCAGCTCCTCAAATACTCCCCACACGGCCTGTCACCTCCCCCAGCGGCAAGGGAACCGGCCAGGACACGAGCCATACACGACTCTCCCAGCAACACGGCTCATGACAGCCGATGCAGGGACAGCCTGAAGGTCCATCCACAGACAAATCAACCAAATGTGGTAACTGGAGAGTCATCCGGCCCTCGGAAGCGAGGAGTCCTGATTCCCGCTCCGGAGTCTGGAATTGTCCTGCTCGAGCCAGGTGTGAAGGCTGTGCTGTGCCACCAGAGGTGGCGTCCAGAGGAGTCCCCAGGGACAGACAGCGGCAGAGCTAGCCAGGGGCAGGGCCTGCTGCCTTCTGGGAGGTGACAAGGTACTGGAACAGACCTGTCACAGGGCCTGCCTCTAGAGCCTGTGCTGTGTCCAGAGGCCCCCGCGCTCCCCACAGCAGCCAGCACTCAGCAAGGGCAGGCGCCTGGTGCCCTCGGCTCTGGTGCAGACCTCCCCCCACTTCTCCTGACGGCCTTCCTCTACCCGCAGCACTCCTCTAGCAAGCTCTCCTAGACCCAGACCCCCGAGCCCCTGCAGGCCAGCTGCCCTGGAGAGCAAGGGACGACTGTCAGGCAGCCTTGCCCCGGCCCTCCTCGGCTCACCGGCCACCCCCCAACCCTCCTTCCCCCTTCTCAAATGGGCGCATATCTTTCTGCTCCTGCCTCCCCTCCCCCCACTCTGTCCTGTTGGCCAAAACTTTTCCAACCCTCTCATTTTACTGCTCTGTTTTAAGGAAAAGAAAGTAAATTCACTAATGTCCTTGGTTTATCCCAACTGACCTAATGGAAAAGAAAACGCACGCCCCCACACAAATTCCCAAAGTAAAAATCCAATGTGTTGAAAATAAAGCTTTAAAAACCTCATAAAAAACCCAAAAGCATTTTCTCGGGGAGACTTGGCACTTCCTAAGTGGTCAGCGGCAGAGTCCACAGGAAGCAGCCACCGGGGCGTCCCGCCGGCTTCAGGCTCCCGCGCTAACACAGCGCAGACACGACTACGGACCGACCGGTCCTGCCGACGGGAAACCAAGACCGACAGCCCAGGAGACGGGCGGCCAAGGGCGGCGGGCGTGTCTCTGGGCTCCGTGGCCCAGCAGGCCTCCGTGCTCCCAGGCCAGGAGCCCGACGGGGGCGGCGTGGGGGGATGGTGACGATGGGCGGGCGCTGCCAACCCGGGCCAGCTCTCTGAGGACACTGTGGTCTCATTTGTGGGGACGCAGGACAGAAACTCATGAGGACGGTGCCCGGGAGAGCTGGGAGGGAAGGGCCGGGCAGGACTTCACCTTCCTGCCGTGTCTCTCTGAGCACGACGGCACGCGTCCTGGGGGAGGCTCCCTTCTTTCTCCTCAGCGCTTTCCTGTCACTTTAACTCTCGACATAGAGAAGTGAGTCGGGTCAGGCGAGGTCGCATGTGTCGTGGGCTCTCCACAAAGACGCCCGGGCTGCCCCCGACTGGGCCCTCTGGAACAGGCAGTCCCGAGAACAAACGAGGGGTCCCCAGCACACAGTGCAGACGGCCACCGGCCAGGACCCCGAGTCTGCCCCGGTCCCACACTGCACAGGGCAGAGGCCCTGACCCGGGTCCCGCGGAGGTTCAGGCCTGCGTTCAGGGCGCCAGGAGGAGAAAATGCCTGGCGTCCGGACAAGTCCAGTTCAGGGGAGGCAAACGCAAAAGAAGCTGCTCTTCCAGCGCTAGAGGTCCCTGCGTGGATGGGCGGGGACACACGGGCACCTGTTCTCAAGGCACCCCTGGGGAGGCCTGAGGGGAGAGGAGCCAGCAAAGAACGTGCCAGGAAAGAGAAGAGTCGGCTTCAGCAAGGCGTGGGGGAATGAGCGTTGTGTCGGACGCCACGTAATTTCTCAGGGACTTGGTGACTTGTGGGGAGGGGCCACAGGAGGGCAGAGGGCCAGGACACCCGAGGTGACCACCACCGAGGCCAGAGGCAGACGGACACCACGCACCAGAGATTTAACAGTTTAATAACGACTTCTCCACAGCCCAACGGGGCAGCCGACCCATCCTGTCTCGTCGCAGGGCCGAGTGCACACCCCACACTCACCACAGGGCGGCCAAAAGGATGCCCCGAGGACACGGGAGTGCCCTCCCTGCCCGCTGGCCTGGCCAGGCCTGCACAGCAGGACCTCTCCTCAGAGTAGTGGCCAGGCCTGAGAACGTCCCTTCTCTCCAGGCCGAAGGGCGGGACACGGTGCCGGCTCCCCTTGCCCTTTGGCTCCCCCTGCCCCGAGCGCCCGCACGGCCGGCCCGCCGCCAGCTCCTGGCAGGCCCGCAGCCCACTCCACGGGGCCTGAGTGGAGCAGCCTCTCCCAGGGCGGCCCCTTCCCAGTGGGATGTGAACACAGCAGGTGCCCACCCACCACGAGGCTCAGGCCCTGCATGGTGGCTCCCACACCGAGCCGCCAGCCCCACGGTTCCTGACCCCCGACCCGACCCTGGGGAGAGGCAGCTAGAGCCCCGTCAGGTCCACGATGGCTTTGATAAAGATGGCATCATCGCGCACGTAGGAGTTCTTGGCCTCCATCTTGGAGACAGGGCAGAAGAGGGGGCAGCCACTGGCAATGTTCATGTCACTGATTGGCCTCTGGAAAGAGGATGAGGTCACGTCGGGTCTAAAGGCATCAATCACGTGCTCCCGGTTGTTCTGGTCGAGCAGCATTAAGGTGACCTGGAAGAGAGTGGCCGTAGGGGTACGACACCCTGAGTCACGCCCCACCCAGCCCCAGCTCCCTGTCTGGGTGATTGGTGCCCATTCCAGCACTTTCCGTCCCTCGGGGTCTGAGGCCGCAAGGGACACTGCAGAGCCGTGCTGGCTGGCGCCTCGCCAACTCGCAGTCACGTGACAAAGGCTCTCATATGGAAGAGCTCTCAGAGCACCCACTGCCCTCCCGAAGGGACAGTCCTTGTCCGTCAGGAGCCACAGCTGCCCTGTGCCGCCGCCGCCTCCACCAGGAAGCCCACAGGGCCAGCCCAGCGCGGTGGAGGGAAAGGATGATGGCGCTGGCACCTTCAATCCCTCCACCAGGAGCCGACTCCGGGTCTCAGAGAGTCCATAACCCCCAAAGACGCGGGCCTCCTGCCGTACCCGTCCTCGGGGACCGACTCCGAGGCAGCGTCTTTAACCGCTAGCCCCGAGGGGTGACTACCTCACTGCCCTCAGGGCCCCTGGGACAGCCGCTGGGACAGCCTCACGCACCTTCTGGTTGAAGGGCCAGCGCAGGAGTGCGTCGTGGGGGCCCTTCATCACCACAAAGAAGAGTGACAGGTGTGTCCCGCGCCCGGTGCCGTCTCCGTTCAAGTAGATGCGCAGACACATCTTGTAGCCGTACCTGCTCGTGTAGAAGGCTGCGGGGAGACGGCGCCCGTGACCCCACGCCGAGGGCTCCCCGAGAAACCCACACACGGAGAAAATGCCCAGGTCTGGGGGCACGTACCCGTCCTCCGACTACGTACGCTTAGCTCCTCGTGGACACGAGTGCCCCAAAGCAAAAACAACTAATTAGGGAAAACCTTTCTAAGAACCCCAAATGCGAGCCCAGCACGGCCACACGTGAACTAGCCGTGAAGCTCGGCGCTGGTCCAACCTGAGCCCGGCCTGGAGGGGGCAACAGTGGGTAGCACCTGGGACAAGTTAGAGGGGACACGGCCAACACCCAGCAAGGTGCCCGGAGACTCCCACTAGCTGACCTCCCTGCCTTCCTGCTCCCACCTCCAGGAGCTGGACCCGGCCCTGCTCCAGCTGCGGGGGAAGGGGGGTCCAGCTGGGGCACACACCTGACCCCCCGCCCTCGGCCCACTTCTGTCAGAGCTTGGTTCGGAAGAGATTCCTGTTGGCAGGGGTGCTCCTGCTCCTCCGGGAACGCGCTAGCAAGGAGGGGCCCGCCAGAGTCCAGAGCCCAGAGGATGGTGCCGGACAGACAGCCTGCCTCCCCCACCCCCCGGAAGCCAGAGCATGTGCTCCGTCCGGGACGGGCCGAGGAGACGCGGCAGGACCACACAGCGGCCCTGCCTACAGGCCGCGCTCCCCATCCCGCCCCAGGCCGCCCGCAGGAGAGGGACCTACACGCTAAGCCCGCAGCTCCAAAGGCGCCGCGGGAGTCACGGGCGCGTGTGGCTCTCTCCATCGGAGGGGGTCAGGTCTATGCAGGGGGGCTGGGCAGGTAGGGGCATGGCGGACCCAGGAAGGGCTGCGGAGTGCCCGCGGCCAGGGCAGAGCAGAGGCCCCTGCTCCCAGCACCTGCTCGCAGCTCCATCCTTGAAGACCCAGCGGAGAGGCGGCAGGTGCGGGGAGCCCTCTGCAGGCAGCCTCCCAGCCCCCTCGCCCTCTCGGGAGGCACCGGCATCTCAGACAGCAGCAGCTCTGGGGGCAGATTCCAGACCAGCACCTGGGGAGAAGATGGCGGGCGTGCGGCCGGCCACGGCCTCCTGCCGCTTCCTGGCGAAGTCACAGATCTTCCAGATGAACACGCCGTCGAAGGTGGTCGCCTCCATCTCATGGACCTTCTGCTCCAGCTCCGCCATCGCCAGGTCCTTCAGACTGATGCTCCTCTCCAGCTGCTGTACCTGGGGGGCCCAGGGGCCTGTGAGGGCGTGCGGCTTCTCGGGCGCCGGCGGGCGGGGCCGTGGGCCTCCATCCAGCGCGCCTCTGAGGCCACCTTCACGGGGAGGTGCCTGTGGAAGTGCCCCACACCCATCTCTCCACCAGCTTCGGGCAGCACGGCATCCCCCAGTGGCCCCGGAGGTTTCACTGGGCTCAGCTTGTCTCAAGTGAGCTCCGTCCCCACAAGACGCCCAACCCCACCTATGCCCAAGGTCAAGAGCTCAGTGCAGGAAACACGCTCGCAGCGCCCACAGCAACCGCGAGGCCTGTTCCCTGCGGCCACCTCTACCCCCACAGGCCCGAGAGACAAGGCTGCCTCGGAGTGACCGCTGGGACGCCCACATCAGGCCTGTCACGTGAGCAGGGCTCACAAGCAGAGGAGACAGAGCAGAAAGAACGCTGTGCTAGAAACCAAGGTGCCGTCCTCGAAATCCCAGCTCAGGTGCCGTGATGCCCTGGACCCGCCCGGACTAGCCCTGAGCACCCCGGGCCCACACCTTGTTACTCAGGGCCTCGATCCTGTCCTGGTCCAGCCGGTGCTGCCGGCCACAGGCCTCGGCGGTCATGGCCACCCTCTCCACCTCTCGGTTCAGGACGCAGACGATGTTCTCAAAGGTGGCGGTCTTCCTCTCCAGGGCCTCGCACCGCTGCTGCAGCTCCGCAGCCTTGGGGAGCCCTGCCTCGGGGTGCAGCGTGCTGGCTTCCCAGCCCCCCACCTCGCTCTGGCTCAGGAAGTGGCCCCCTGCCCCAGAGAGGGGCTTGGCCTCCAGGAGGCCGCCCAGCAGCATGGCCAAGTGCTCCCGGAGCCAGTGGGCCTCATGTTGCTGCTGCTTCTCGCTCTCCACCTGCAGACGGAAGCAGGGGGCTCAGCCCTGACCCAGAGCCCCGCGGACAGGCTGCAAGGTGAGGCAGGGCGGGGACACCTCCCCATCGTTCACCTGCCAGCATGTCCCCTGTCGCTACCTGGAGTCGCTACCTTCCAAAACACAGACCATCCTAGTAACTTCTCTGCTAGTATTCAACGTAACAGGGAGGAGCACACGCGTGTAAGACGTTGCCCGAGCAGAGAGGAGACCCATAAAGCTAACCTTTCCCCAAATCGTCAATATTCTTTATCACACGCTTCTGAGTTTCTCCTAAACTTCACAACAAATGAAAAAAAAAGTTTTTAGGGGCGCCTGGGGGGGCTCAGTAGGTTAAGCCTCTGCCTTCGGCTCAGGTCATGATCCCGGGGTCCTGGGATCGAGCCCCACATCGGGCTCTCTGCTCAGCGGGGAGCCTGCTTTCCCCTCTCTCTCTCTGCCTGCCTCTCTGCCTACTTGTGATCTCTGTCTCTGTCAAATAAATAGATGAAATCTTAAAAAAAAATTTTTTTTTTTAAATTTTTAAATTTTTATTTGAGAGGGAGAAAAAAAAGAGAGAGAGGGAGAAAGAGAAAGCACAGAAGGAGAACGAGACTCCCTGCTGAGCAGAGAGCCTGACGCGGGGCTCCATCCCAGGACCCTGAGATCATGACCTGAGCCGAAGGCAGAGGCTTCACCAACTAAGTCACCCAGATGTTCCCAAATTTTAAAATGTTACACACTCTCAGGGGCATCTGGGTGGCTCAGTTGGTTAAGGCCTGACTCCTAGTTTCGGCTCAGGTCCAATCTCAGGGTTGTGAGATCAAGTCCTGAGTCGGGCTCTGTGCTCAACTCGGAGTCTGCTTGATAGTCTCTCTCTCCCTTGGCCCCTCCCCACTGGCACAGGCCTACACGTGGCTCTCTCTCAAATCAATCTTTTAAAAAATAAAAATAGGGGTGCCTGGATGGCTCCGTCATTAAGCGTCTGCCTTTGGCTCAGGTCACGATCCCAGGGTCCTGGGATTGAGCCTCACATCAGGCTCCCTGCTTAGCAGGGAGTCTGCCTCTCCCTCTCCCACCCCCTCTGCTTGTGTTCCTGCTCTTGCTGTCTCTCTCTCTGTCAAATGAATAAATAAAATATTTTTAAAATAATAAGATAAAAATAAAAACGTTAGACGCTCTCAAGACATCAAAAGTAGAAAGCAACAAACACAGTCCATGAGACACAGTGCCCAGAGAGCACGTCCCAAGTGGCGCTGGGACACGCGGTCCCCTGGCGGTCTACGGGTGGGCGTGGGGGCAGCGCGTGCGTAACACGGGGCTGGGGGCTTGAGGTCAGGGTCAGAGCAACGAGCCCAACACCGCCTTCAGCCTCGGGGTGCGTCTGGCTCCACTGGCTAGAAAGCCTGCAGCTGCTGCTTTCTGGGCCCACAAGAAGGCCGCCAGCAGCGCCCACGGCGGGGGAACACCACCTGTACCACATCACCAAACACAAAGAACGGTGGGAGGGGCCGTTCTTGTGGGCCGCACCTGAGACCAGGTGTCCGGGCTCCAGATGACAGCAGCCCTGCGACTACCGCCACAGAAGGCCTGCCAGGGGGTCTGCGGGCAGCAGCACGCCAGCCGTGCCCCAGGCCCTCCGAGAGCCGGGGGCTGCACCTCCCACCCCCGGGGACACAGCAGTCGGGGAAAGAAAGGTAGAGGCCATGCAGAAGCCTGAACAAGTGGCACAGACGCCGACGGGTCACGGTCCTGGGGTGGGAACGGGTCCGTGTGCGCGAGGACAGCCAGGCCAGTGACCCACCAGGGTCACATAGGCCACTGAGACAGGGGAGGCAGGTGGGGTCCCGGACCTGTCTGCCCGAAGCATGGACCTCCCCGGGTGGACCAGACAAGGCGCAGGAGACAAGGGGAAGGCCCACAATGACTGCTGGGCTTTGGCTGGCACCACTGGGTGACACAAACTGCTCATTTTTGGCAGGTTGGGAGGGTTGGGGTGGGGGGTCCCGGAGTGCAGCTGAGGTCTGAGATGCCCACGAGGTATCAGGGAGGTACAAGGCCCGGGGCAGTTTCAGCAGAGGGAGGTGGTCAGAGGTAGGGCCCTGAGAGAGCATGAGGACAAGTGGACGGAGCAGAGCCCGAGCAGAGGCCGGGACAGCTGAGGGCCGAGGAGGCAGCAGGGTAGGTGGGCGGGAGACCAGGAGGCCAGGCCGGAGGCCGAGCAAGGACCGCGTTGGGGAAGAGCACGCGTAGGGCGCTTCCGCGGGGTCCCCTTTTGGGATACAGGGAGCTGCTGCAGGCCTGGCCCCAGTGGACCCATGGCCAGTGGGACTCACCAACTCGGGGCAGCCGACGACATGGAACCTGCACGGGGTCCGGCACTTGCCACACGCCCTGACATGGTCCTGGAACTAGAAGGAAGGACGCCGTGAGTGCCTTTCCTTTCCCCTCCCTGCCTGGCCTCTTCAGTCTCATACCGAACAAACTAACAGCCCAGTCGGAGAGCCGAAGGCACACACGGGCACACGCGCACGCACATGGGCACACGCGCACACACGGACGCACACACACACACGCACACGCGCAGCTTGCGGGCGTCAACAGAGGGAGGTGTGCAGAGGGGAGTGTGCAGCCTGAGGACCTGCACCATGGCCCGCATCAGAGCACCCGCAGCGGCCCGGTCCTGCACTCAGGCCTCAGCGCCGCGTGCTGTCCGAGGCCCGGGGCCTTGGGAGAAGGGAGGGACGGCCTGACCAGGGCTGAGACTCCCACCACTGACCCAGCGTGGCGCTGGTGCACGACCACACTGCCCAGCAGAACAGACGGGAGAACCCCGAAAGAGAGCGACTGCACGTGTGCTGGCCACGGAGCCAGCAGCCCCTCCTGCCGGCCAAGACGGGGGTGGATGCAGCTCTCTGAGGTGGGCAAGGCCAAGGGGCAGCCACAGGACCCCTTAAGAATGGTCCGTCTGCCTCCATCCTCTGGGGGCCTAGAATGACGATCAGGGCTACGAATGCCAAACGGAAACAGACAAAACACCAAACTAAGTAAAAGGACAAGGTACTGTGATCCAGTCTACCCGACAGTGTTCTGGAAACAGACAAAAGAAGGACTAAGATTCTCTCCCCACTGCAGGAAACGGGCAGGCATCCCCAGGGGTCCCCGGTCCCCAGTAGGAGAAATGCAGGTGAGCCTAACCAAAAGGCCCAATAAATTCGTGATTTGAGAACCACAAACAGAAACTCCCGGGATGGTCTTTCTCAGCTGTCGCAGGGCAAGCCCCGAGGGTGTCACCCCACCCGCTGCTGGGGCCGGGACCTGGGCTCTGACCTGTCAGCACACTTGCCCTGGTTCTCACTCGGGACCCACACTACCGTTTTACCCACGTATGCGACCGTTAGGTCCTGAAAGGCAATCTCAGAGACTGGTAAGCGGAGAGACGAACGGCGGCGCACCCCCGAGAGCCTGCCTCCCGGACGGCAGACGCGGGGCCTGACAGCGGGGCCCGCGAGCGCCAGAGAAGCCGGAGACCGGCCGCCAGCACACCGTCACTGCTGGTGTGCGCAGCGCAGGGGCTGCGTCCGGGCGACAGCACCAGCGCGCCCCCAGGGCGAGATCAGCAGGTACCAAGATGCCCCTGCGGCAGGGCGGGCACGGACCCGGAATCGGGCGGGAATCGTAACCGCCACAAGCCCGTCCGAGCCCACAACGTGGTCTCTCTTAGAACAGAGCAGCGAGGGGCGCCAGCGTGGCTCAGTGGCTCTGGGTTTCGGCTCAGGTCATGACTTCGGGGTCCTGAGCACAGGCCCCACGTCGTACTCCCTGCTCAGCGTGGAGTCTGCTTGTCCCCCTGCCTCTGCCCCTCACCCCACCCTGCCCCGCGCTCACGCTCTCTCTCAAGTAAACGAGATGAAAAACAAGCAGGGGCGCGTGGGGGGCTCAGTGGGTTGAGCGGCTGCCTTCGGCTCAGGTCATGATCCCAGCGTCCTGGGATCGAGTCCCACATCGGGCTCCTTGCTCGGCGGGGAGCCTGCTTCTGAGACCCCGAGACCCGCGGACCCGCGGACCCCGAGACCCGCGGACCCAGAGACCCGCGGACCCGCAGACCCGCGGACCCCGAGACCCACAGACCCGCAGACCCGGAGACCCGGAGACCCGCGGACCCGCGGACCCGTGGACCCAGAGACCCGCGGACCCGCGGACCCAGAGACCCCGAGACCCGCGGACCCGCGGACCCCGAGACCCGCGGACCCAGAGACCCGCAGACCCGCGGACCCGCAGACCCGCAGACCCGCGGACCCCGAGACCCACAGACCCGCAGACCCGCAGACCCGGAGACCCGGAGACCCGCGGACCCGCGGACCCGCGGACCCCGAGACCCGAAGACCCGCGGACCCGCAGACCCCGAGACCCGCGGACCCGCGGACCCGCGGACCCAGAGACCCGCGGACCCGGAGACCCGGGGACCCGGGGACCCGGAGACCCGTGGACCCCGAGACCCGCGGACCCGCGGACCCCGAGACCCGAAGACCCGCGGACCCCGAGATGGCGCCCCCGCTCAGGCCAGAACCTGGCACAAGCCTGAGCGCATTCCCCAGGGCGGCTGGAACCAGGAACCACACACTGGGGAGTCCCTTGTCTCACGCTCCGGAGATCACAAGAATGCACGCTGCCATGGGGGGACCCCTCCTGCCTGTTCAGCCGCTGGTGGGCCAGCCTTGGTGTCCTCCTCTGTTGACCTGTCACTCCAACCTTCTGCCTCCACATGGCCACCCCCTGGGCCTCTTCCCATCATCTTCCCTCTGCAGTCTGTGTCCAAATCTCCCCTTTTTATAAGGTTCCCAGTCCTACTGGCCTGGACTCACCCTATGCCTCATTGTAACTAGATCACACTACACAGAAAGGTCACGTTCTGAGTTCCTGGGGATTCGGATGTCGTCGTATCTTTCTGGGGGTGTGATTCAACATGTGGGATCTGCCAACAGACTGGATTTCCCCGAGCTGTGCACAGCAGTCCACTCGCGAGGGCAGAAGACACATTCCCTTCCGCGGCACAGGGAACATCGCCGAGAGGACCACAGCTGCACGGTGAGACGAACCTCAGCCCAAAGTCCTTTTCCATACGGCCCCCGCGACCCGACCCCAAAACCAAAGACCGCGGAAGGACACCAACATGCCCGCTGAATATAGATGCAGAATCCTCGGGCGACAGTTAGACCAAATCCAGGAAGAGCACAGACTGAGGTGCTCGCCGCGACCCGGGGGACTCAATCCGGAAACGCAAGGCTGGTTCTAGATGGGGAGACGCGGCGGCGGGAGCCGCACGGGAGGGCGGGGCAGGGACCACTCGGACGCATCTCCTGATGCCCAAAAAGCACTCCACAGAGCATCCCAGCTGCGCTGAAGCCCGCGGCTGTCGGGCAGGAGCGGGGACCTGCTCAGCCTGGGGAAGGCGCCGGCACCGTCTGCTGGTAGCGTCTCCCTCGGCGGGAGAGGGAACCTTCCCGAGGCCAGGGGCGGTCCGGGAGCCCCTCCTTCGCTCCGGGCCCCCTCACAGGGGGACATTCAGCAGGTGGGTAAATGAGCCAGTGCTGAAGGACGCACAGACGGAGAAGCGTGAGTGTCCTTACGCACAGACAACAGTGCGTTTATGTGGGGAATTCCCCAAAAGCTACAAAAGCAACCAATTCACTCCTAGAACCAGTGAGCTTTTCAGACTTATGGGATACAAAGAGAATGCACAAAAAACAATCTACGCACTAGGGATATATGGTTGGAAACCAGAACTTAAAAATTAACTTTTGTGGGGCGTCTGGGTGGGTCAGTGAGTTGAGCGTCCGGCTCCTGATTCTTTCGTGATCTTGGGGTCCTGGGATTGAGCCCTACGCTGGGCTCTGTGCTCAGCAAGGAGTCTGCTCGGGATTCCCTCTCTGCCCCTTGCTCCCTCGCTTTCTCTGAGTAAACAAATCAACAAAATCTTTAAAGAAATACAATCCTTTACCACAGCTCAAGAACGAAGGAGACGCTCGGGCGGCAACCTAAGGAAGCAGGTGCTCGTGCTGGGCGCTGCAGAATGAGGACTCAGAGAAAAAGCAAAGAGACAAATTATGTTCCTGGTTTGGAAGACAACACAGACGTCAGTTCCCCCCAAACCGACCCTAGATTTACGACAACTCCCGTCCGTGCCCTGCAGGGCTTCCTGTAGCTACGGGCAGGGGATTCTGAGACTCACCCGTTCTGGTGAAGGAACAGAGACAGCTGGGGACCCTCTGAGCAACAGGGAGGAGAGCAGGGGCTCCCAGCCCTGCAGCTACCACTCGTGGGGGCGCGTGCGACGGACGGACTGCGCTGGTGCAGACACGCGGGTGGGGGCGACAGGTCGCACATGCGTGACGACTGGGCCTCACGAAGGCACCAAGTGAGTGGACAGAGGGAGGCTGGCCGTCCGTGGAGGCAAACAGCTCACAGTCATTTCCACAAACGGCCGGATGCGGAGGAATTAACCCCAATGTCACGGCTTTGCAAAACTCAGTGCAAAATGGGTCAGAGGCCCGGGACGCCTGGGTGGCTCAGTTGGTTAAGCAGCTGCCTTCGGCTCGGGTCATGGTCCCAGTGTCCTGGGATCGAGTCCCACATCGGGCTCCTTGCTCAGCGGGGAGCCTGCTTCTCCCTCTGCCTCTGCCTGCCATTCTGTCTGCCTGTGCTTGCTCTCTCTCCCTCTCTCTCTCTGACAAATAAATAAATAAAAATAAAATCTTTAATAAAAAAAAAAAAAAATGGGTCAGAGGCCCAGGCGCGGCCTGTCACGACCGCGGGCGGGGACGGAGGTGCGCCTCCGGTATCGGGTGGCAGCAGGAGGCTCCCAGACGCCACCTGAAAGCCCGGTCCACGGCACACTTCTCCGGAACTTACTGACCCGGCCTGTGACACAGGAACCGGAGGAAAGCACCTGCAGCCGCACAGCGGACCAGCAGCGCGTCGCTAGAACCGGCCAACGGCTCTCCGGCTCAGCAGCCGCCCCGCCCGGAGAAGACGCTCCCGCCACACGAGCGGGAAAGGCAGACTCGAGCCGCAACAGAAGCCCAGCGTGCGGCTGCGGGGCAGGGGGCACGGGACCCCCACCAGCACCACGGGGAGCCCGGAGGGCGCGGCTGCTGTGTCCGCCTGTGAGGCTGTGTGACAGGACGCCCGGCTCCGCCACGCGTCCGCGGCCACACACAGCTGTGTCTCACAGTCGGGAAGGCCCGAGGCCCAGTCCAGGCCCCGGCTGGGCACTTCTTGCTGTGTCCGCAGGTGGCGGGCGGGGTGGGGGGTGGGGCTCCCTGGGGTCCCTCTCCTGAGCCCCACCCGTGACCTGTCACTCCCCTCCCAAAGGCTCTGTGTCCCAACACCTTCACCTCGGGCCTGGGTTTCAGCCGATGACTTCGGGGGCGGGGGGCACACACCCCCTCAGGCCGTCACAGCTATTCTGGAAAACGGCGCACGTTCTCAGGAATCCAAGCGACCCTTACCGTGCGACCCAGCAACACCGCTGCTCCGGGACAGGGGAGGGCGCTCCACACCAGCCTGCCAGCAAGCGCTCAGCGCAGCCGCACGCGGGACCCAGATTGGGAACCACCCAGACGCCCTCCGGCAGGTTCGGACTCTGCGCCCGGCGGTAGCCGAACCGAGCGGCGCGCGGTTTGCGGTGCTGAGCGTCCGCGCGCTGAGCGGAGGGCCGGGCCTCAGAAGGCAGTGCCCGCGGCTCCAGCCCCAGCGGCCCTCAACCGGAGAACGGGCGCCGGCTGGGGGCTCAGGGTGGGGTCCAGAGATGGAGGAGCTGCTCACGTGCTCCCGTAAGTGTGAGCAGACGGTCAGAGCCGCACCCGAAACGCTTATGACCCAACTTCCCCGCGACAAATCGCAGGGGCTGTTGGAGAAAGTGCCACCGACTCACCCGCCAGGGGCCCAGGCGAGACTGCAGGTGTGGTTCCAAGTGCCCAGGAAAAGTAAGCGTCGTCCCAGGACTCTAAACCCAGTCAACATCTAACCCAAGGCTAGAGTCGGGGCCTGGGGGCCTTGGTCAGTTGGGCGTCCAACTCTCGATTTCGGCTCAGGTCATGACCTCAGGGTCGTGAGACTGAGCCCCGCGTCGGGCTCCCGCTGGGCACAGAACTTCTCCCTCTCCCTCTGCCCCTCCCCACACATTCCCCCCAAAACAGAACCAAAAGCAAAGGTGGGACACACCCAGCTGCAGGAAGCAGAGGCCTGCAGGACAGTGCGGCGGGCGGCTACGGGGGCACAAGGCAACGGTGAGCCAAAGCAGCGCGTGGGTGCCCTGGCTGCTGTTGATGGTTTTTAGCGGTTTTTTTTTTCAGATGATTCTATTTATTTGAGAGAGAGAGAGAGAAAAGGTGCACAAGCAGGGGGAGCGGCAGAGGGAGAAGCAGACTCCCCACCAAGCAGGGAGCCCAACCTGGGACTCGATCCCAAGACCTTGGGATCCACGACCTGAGCTGAAGGCAGATGCTTAAGGACTGAGCCCTCCGGGAGCCCCCTAATAAGTATTTTTTTGTGTTTAAAACTAACATGGACTTGAAATTCTAGAGAACGTGCGGAGGGAGCAGGAGGTCAAATGAAGGCCAAAGTGGAAGTCACGCTGCGCAGAATGTCACCGGGGCAGCTGGCAGCTCCTCAAATACTCCCCACACGGCCTGTCACCTCCCCCAGCGGCAAGGGAACCGGCCAGGACACGAGCCATACACGACTCTCCCAGCAACACGGCTCATGACAGCCGATGCAGGGACAGCCTGAAGGTCCATCCACAGACAAATCAACCAAATGTGGTAACTGGAGAGTCATCCGGCCCTCGGAAGCGAGGAGTCCTGATTCCCGCTCCGGAGTCTGGAATTGTCCTGCTCGAGCCAGGTGTGAAGGCTGTGCTGTGCCACCAGAGGTGGCGTCCAGAGGAGTCCCCAGGGACAGACAGCGGCAGAGCTAGCCAGGGGCAGGGCCTGCTGCCTTCTGGGAGGTGACAAGGTACTGGAACAGACCTGTCACAGGGCCTGCCTCTAGAGCCTGTGCTGTGTCCAGAGGCCCCCGCGCTCCCCACAGCAGCCAGCACTCAGCAAGGGCAGGCGCCTGGTGCCCTCGGCTCTGGTGCAGACCTCCCCCCACTTCTCCTGACGGCCTTCCTCTACCCGCAGCACTCCTCTAGCAAGCTCTCCTAGACCCAGACCCCCGAGCCCCTGCAGGCCAGCTGCCCTGGAGAGCAAGGGACGACTGTCAGGCAGCCTTGCCCCGGCCCTCCTCGGCTCACCGGCCACCCCCCAACCCTCCTTCCCCCTTCTCAAATGGGCGCATATCTTTCTGCTCCTGCCTCCCCTCCCCCCACTCTGTCCTGTTGGCCAAAACTTTTCCAACCCTCTCATTTTACTGCTCTGTTTTAAGGAAAAGAAAGTAAATTCACTAATGTCCTTGGTTTATCCCAACTGACCTAATGGAAAAGAAAACGCACGCCCCCACACAAATTCCCAAAGTAAAAATCCAATGTGTTGAAAATAAAGCTTTAAAAACCTCATAAAAAACCCAAAAGCATTTTCTCGGGGAGACTTGGCACTTCCTAAGTGGTCAGCGGCAGAGTCCACAGGAAGCAGCCACCGGGGCGTCCCGCCGGCTTCAGGCTCCCGCGCTAACACAGCGCAGACACGACTACGGACCGACCGGTCCTGCCGACGGGAAACCAAGACCGACAGCCCAGGAGACGGGCGGCCAAGGGCGGCGGGCGTGTCTCTGGGCTCCGTGGCCCAGCAGGCCTCCGTGCTCCCAGGCCAGGAGCCCGACGGGGGCGGCGTGGGGGGATGGTGACGATGGGCGGGCGCTGCCAACCCGGGCCAGCTCTCTGAGGACACTGTGGTCTCATTTGTGGGGACGCAGGACAGAAACTCATGAGGACGGTGCCCGGGAGAGCTGGGAGGGAAGGGCCGGGCAGGACTTCACCTTCCTGCCGTGTCTCTCTGAGCACGACGGCACGCGTCCTGGGGGAGGCTCCCTTCTTTCTCCTCAGCGCTTTCCTGTCACTTTAACTCTCGACATAGAGAAGTGAGTCGGGTCAGGCGAGGTCGCATGTGTCGTGGGCTCTCCACAAAGACGCCCGGGCTGCCCCCGACTGGGCCCTCTGGAACAGGCAGTCCCGAGAACAAACGAGGGGTCCCCAGCACACAGTGCAGACGGCCACCGGCCAGGACCCCGAGTCTGCCCCGGTCCCACACTGCACAGGGCAGAGGCCCTGACCCGGGTCCCGCGGAGGTTCAGGCCTGCGTTCAGGGCGCCAGGAGGAGAAAATGCCTGGCGTCCGGACAAGTCCAGTTCAGGGGAGGCAAACGCAAAAGAAGCTGCTCTTCCAGCGCTAGAGGTCCCTGCGTGGATGGGCGGGGACACACGGGCACCTGTTCTCAAGGCACCCCTGGGGAGGCCTGAGGGGAGAGGAGCCAGCAAAGAACGTGCCAGGAAAGAGAAGAGTCGGCTTCAGCAAGGCGTGGGGGAATGAGCGTTGTGTCGGACGCCACGTAATTTCTCAGGGACTTGGTGACTTGTGGGGAGGGGCCACAGGAGGGCAGAGGGCCAGGACACCCGAGGTGACCACCACCGAGGCCAGAGGCAGACGGACACCACGCACCAGAGATTTAACAGTTTAATAACGACTTCTCCACAGCCCAACGGGGCAGCCGACCCATCCTGTCTCGTCGCAGGGCCGAGTGCACACCCCACACTCACCACAGGGCGGCCAAAAGGATGCCCCGAGGACACGGGAGTGCCCTCCCTGCCCGCTGGCCTGGCCAGGCCTGCACAGCAGGACCTCTCCTCAGAGTAGTGGCCAGGCCTGAGAACGTCCCTTCTCTCCAGGCCGAAGGGCGGGACACGGTGCCGGCTCCCCTTGCCCTTTGGCTCCCCCTGCCCCGAGCGCCCGCACGGCCGGCCCGCCGCCAGCTCCTGGCAGGCCCGCAGCCCACTCCACGGGGCCTGAGTGGAGCAGCCTCTCCCAGGGCGGCCCCTTCCCAGTGGGATGTGAACACAGCAGGTGCCCACCCACCACGAGGCTCAGGCCCTGCATGGTGGCTCCCACACCGAGCCGCCAGCCCCACGGTTCCTGACCCCCGACCCGACCCTGGGGAGAGGCAGCTAGAGCCCCGTCAGGTCCACGATGGCTTTGATAAAGATGGCATCATCGCGCACGTAGGAGTTCTTGGCCTCCATCTTGGAGACAGGGCAGAAGAGGGGGCAGCCACTGGCAATGTTCATGTCACTGATTGGCCTCTGGAAAGAGGATGAGGTCACGTCGGGTCTAAAGGCATCAATCACGTGCTCCCGGTTGTTCTGGTCGAGCAGCATTAAGGTGACCTGGAAGAGAGTGGCCGTAGGGGTACGACACCCTGAGTCACGCCCCACCCAGCCCCAGCTCCCTGTCTGGGTGATTGGTGCCCATTCCAGCACTTTCCGTCCCTCGGGGTCTGAGGCCGCAAGGGACACTGCAGAGCCGTGCTGGCTGGCGCCTCGCCAACTCGCAGTCACGTGACAAAGGCTCTCATATGGAAGAGCTCTCAGAGCACCCACTGCCCTCCCGAAGGGACAGTCCTTGTCCGTCAGGAGCCACAGCTGCCCTGTGCCGCCGCCGCCTCCACCAGGAAGCCCACAGGGCCAGCCCAGCGCGGTGGAGGGAAAGGATGATGGCGCTGGCACCTTCAATCCCTCCACCAGGAGCCGACTCCGGGTCTCAGAGAGTCCATAACCCCCAAAGACGCGGGCCTCCTGCCGTACCCGTCCTCGGGGACCGACTCCGAGGCAGCGTCTTTAACCGCTAGCCCCGAGGGGTGACTACCTCACTGCCCTCAGGGCCCCTGGGACAGCCGCTGGGACAGCCTCACGCACCTTCTGGTTGAAGGGCCAGCGCAGGAGTGCGTCGTGGGGGCCCTTCATCACCACAAAGAAGAGTGACAGGTGTGTCCCGCGCCCGGTGCCGTCTCCGTTCAAGTAGATGCGCAGACACATCTTGTAGCCGTACCTGCTCGTGTAGAAGGCTGCGGGGAGACGGCGCCCGTGACCCCACGCCGAGGGCTCCCCGAGAAACCCACACACGGAGAAAATGCCCAGGTCTGGGGGCACGTACCCGTCCTCCGACTACGTACGCTTAGCTCCTCGTGGACACGAGTGCCCCAAAGCAAAAACAACTAATTAGGGAAAACCTTTCTAAGAACCCCAAATGCGAGCCCAGCACGGCCACACGTGAACTAGCCGTGAAGCTCGGCGCTGGTCCAACCTGAGCCCGGCCTGGAGGGGGCAACAGTGGGTAGCACCTGGGACAAGTTAGAGGGGACACGGCCAACACCCAGCAAGGTGCCCGGAGACTCCCACTAGCTGACCTCCCTGCCTTCCTGCTCCCACCTCCAGGAGCTGGACCCGGCCCTGCTCCAGCTGCGGGGGAAGGGGGGTCCAGCTGGGGCACACACCTGACCCCCCGCCCTCGGCCCACTTCTGTCAGAGCTTGGTTCGGAAGAGATTCCTGTTGGCAGGGGTGCTCCTGCTCCTCCGGGAACGCGCTAGCAAGGAGGGGCCCGCCAGAGTCCAGAGCCCAGAGGATGGTGCCGGACAGACAGCCTGCCTCCCCCACCCCCCGGAAGCCAGAGCATGTGCTCCGTCCGGGACGGGCCGAGGAGACGCGGCAGGACCACACAGCGGCCCTGCCTACAGGCCGCGCTCCCCATCCCGCCCCAGGCCGCCCGCAGGAGAGGGACCTACACGCTAAGCCCGCAGCTCCAAAGGCGCCGCGGGAGTCACGGGCGCGTGTGGCTCTCTCCATCGGAGGGGGTCAGGTCTATGCAGGGGGGCTGGGCAGGTAGGGGCATGGCGGACCCAGGAAGGGCTGCGGAGTGCCCGCGGCCAGGGCAGAGCAGAGGCCCCTGCTCCCAGCACCTGCTCGCAGCTCCATCCTTGAAGACCCAGCGGAGAGGCGGCAGGTGCGGGGAGCCCTCTGCAGGCAGCCTCCCAGCCCCCTCGCCCTCTCGGGAGGCACCGGCATCTCAGACAGCAGCAGCTCTGGGGGCAGATTCCAGACCAGCACCTGGGGAGAAGATGGCGGGCGTGCGGCCGGCCACGGCCTCCTGCCGCTTCCTGGCGAAGTCACAGATCTTCCAGATGAACACGCCGTCGAAGGTGGTCGCCTCCATCTCATGGACCTTCTGCTCCAGCTCCGCCATCGCCAGGTCCTTCAGACTGATGCTCCTCTCCAGCTGCTGTACCTGGGGGGCCCAGGGGCCTGTGAGGGCGTGCGGCTTCTCGGGCGCCGGCGGGCGGGGCCGTGGGCCTCCATCCAGCGCGCCTCTGAGGCCACCTTCACGGGGAGGTGCCTGTGGAAGTGCCCCACACCCATCTCTCCACCAGCTTCGGGCAGCACGGCATCCCCCAGTGGCCCCGGAGGTTTCACTGGGCTCAGCTTGTCTCAAGTGAGCTCCGTCCCCACAAGACGCCCAACCCCACCTATGCCCAAGGTCAAGAGCTCAGTGCAGGAAACACGCTCGCAGCGCCCACAGCAACCGCGAGGCCTGTTCCCTGCGGCCACCTCTACCCCCACAGGCCCGAGAGACAAGGCTGCCTCGGAGTGACCGCTGGGACGCCCACATCAGGCCTGTCACGTGAGCAGGGCTCACAAGCAGAGGAGACAGAGCAGAAAGAACGCTGTGCTAGAAACCAAGGTGCCGTCCTCGAAATCCCAGCTCAGGTGCCGTGATGCCCTGGACCCGCCCGGACTAGCCCTGAGCACCCCGGGCCCACACCTTGTTACTCAGGGCCTCGATCCTGTCCTGGTCCAGCCGGTGCTGCCGGCCACAGGCCTCGGCGGTCATGGCCACCCTCTCCACCTCTCGGTTCAGGACGCAGACGATGTTCTCAAAGGTGGCGGTCTTCCTCTCCAGGGCCTCGCACCGCTGCTGCAGCTCCGCAGCCTTGGGGAGCCCTGCCTCGGGGTGCAGCGTGCTGGCTTCCCAGCCCCCCACCTCGCTCTGGCTCAGGAAGTGGCCCCCTGCCCCAGAGAGGGGCTTGGCCTCCAGGAGGCCGCCCAGCAGCATGGCCAAGTGCTCCCGGAGCCAGTGGGCCTCATGTTGCTGCTGCTTCTCGCTCTCCACCTGCAGACGGAAGCAGGGGGCTCAGCCCTGACCCAGAGCCCCGCGGACAGGCTGCAAGGTGAGGCAGGGCGGGGACACCTCCCCATCGTTCACCTGCCAGCATGTCCCCTGTCGCTACCTGGAGTCGCTACCTTCCAAAACACAGACCATCCTAGTAACTTCTCTGCTAGTATTCAACGTAACAGGGAGGAGCACACGCGTGTAAGACGTTGCCCGAGCAGAGAGGAGACCCATAAAGCTAACCTTTCCCCAAATCGTCAATATTCTTTATCACACGCTTCTGAGTTTCTCCTAAACTTCACAACAAATGAAAAAAAAAGTTTTTAGGGGCGCCTGGGGGGGCTCAGTAGGTTAAGCCTCTGCCTTCGGCTCAGGTCATGATCCCGGGGTCCTGGGATCGAGCCCCACATCGGGCTCTCTGCTCAGCGGGGAGCCTGCTTTCCCCTCTCTCTCTCTGCCTGCCTCTCTGCCTACTTGTGATCTCTGTCTCTGTCAAATAAATAGATGAAATCTTAAAAAAAAATTTTTTTTTTTAAATTTTTAAATTTTTATTTGAGAGGGAGAAAAAAAAGAGAGAGAGGGAGAAAGAGAAAGCACAGAAGGAGAACGAGACTCCCTGCTGAGCAGAGAGCCTGACGCGGGGCTCCATCCCAGGACCCTGAGATCATGACCTGAGCCGAAGGCAGAGGCTTCACCAACTAAGTCACCCAGATGTTCCCAAATTTTAAAATGTTACACACTCTCAGGGGCATCTGGGTGGCTCAGTTGGTTAAGGCCTGACTCCTAGTTTCGGCTCAGGTCCAATCTCAGGGTTGTGAGATCAAGTCCTGAGTCGGGCTCTGTGCTCAACTCGGAGTCTGCTTGATAGTCTCTCTCTCCCTTGGCCCCTCCCCACTGGCACAGGCCTACACGTGGCTCTCTCTCAAATCAATCTTTTAAAAAATAAAAATAGGGGTGCCTGGATGGCTCCGTCATTAAGCGTCTGCCTTTGGCTCAGGTCACGATCCCAGGGTCCTGGGATTGAGCCTCACATCAGGCTCCCTGCTTAGCAGGGAGTCTGCCTCTCCCTCTCCCACCCCCTCTGCTTGTGTTCCTGCTCTTGCTGTCTCTCTCTCTGTCAAATGAATAAATAAAATATTTTTAAAATAATAAGATAAAAATAAAAACGTTAGACGCTCTCAAGACATCAAAAGTAGAAAGCAACAAACACAGTCCATGAGACACAGTGCCCAGAGAGCACGTCCCAAGTGGCGCTGGGACACGCGGTCCCCTGGCGGTCTACGGGTGGGCGTGGGGGCAGCGCGTGCGTAACACGGGGCTGGGGGCTTGAGGTCAGGGTCAGAGCAACGAGCCCAACACCGCCTTCAGCCTCGGGGTGCGTCTGGCTCCACTGGCTAGAAAGCCTGCAGCTGCTGCTTTCTGGGCCCACAAGAAGGCCGCCAGCAGCGCCCACGGCGGGGGAACACCACCTGTACCACATCACCAAACACAAAGAACGGTGGGAGGGGCCGTTCTTGTGGGCCGCACCTGAGACCAGGTGTCCGGGCTCCAGATGACAGCAGCCCTGCGACTACCGCCACAGAAGGCCTGCCAGGGGGTCTGCGGGCAGCAGCACGCCAGCCGTGCCCCAGGCCCTCCGAGAGCCGGGGGCTGCACCTCCCACCCCCGGGGACACAGCAGTCGGGGAAAGAAAGGTAGAGGCCATGCAGAAGCCTGAACAAGTGGCACAGACGCCGACGGGTCACGGTCCTGGGGTGGGAACGGGTCCGTGTGCGCGAGGACAGCCAGGCCAGTGACCCACCAGGGTCACATAGGCCACTGAGACAGGGGAGGCAGGTGGGGTCCCGGACCTGTCTGCCCGAAGCATGGACCTCCCCGGGTGGACCAGACAAGGCGCAGGAGACAAGGGGAAGGCCCACAATGACTGCTGGGCTTTGGCTGGCACCACTGGGTGACACAAACTGCTCATTTTTGGCAGGTTGGGAGGGTTGGGGTGGGGGGTCCCGGAGTGCAGCTGAGGTCTGAGATGCCCACGAGGTATCAGGGAGGTACAAGGCCCGGGGCAGTTTCAGCAGAGGGAGGTGGTCAGAGGTAGGGCCCTGAGAGAGCATGAGGACAAGTGGACGGAGCAGAGCCCGAGCAGAGGCCGGGACAGCTGAGGGCCGAGGAGGCAGCAGGGTAGGTGGGCGGGAGACCAGGAGGCCAGGCCGGAGGCCGAGCAAGGACCGCGTTGGGGAAGAGCACGCGTAGGGCGCTTCCGCGGGGTCCCCTTTTGGGATACAGGGAGCTGCTGCAGGCCTGGCCCCAGTGGACCCATGGCCAGTGGGACTCACCAACTCGGGGCAGCCGACGACATGGAACCTGCACGGGGTCCGGCACTTGCCACACGCCCTGACATGGTCCTGGAACTAGAAGGAAGGACGCCGTGAGTGCCTTTCCTTTCCCCTCCCTGCCTGGCCTCTTCAGTCTCATACCGAACAAACTAACAGCCCAGTCGGAGAGCCGAAGGCACACACGGGCACACGCGCACGCACATGGGCACACGCGCACACACGGACGCACACACACACACGCACACGCGCAGCTTGCGGGCGTCAACAGAGGGAGGTGTGCAGAGGGGAGTGTGCAGCCTGAGGACCTGCACCATGGCCCGCATCAGAGCACCCGCAGCGGCCCGGTCCTGCACTCAGGCCTCAGCGCCGCGTGCTGTCCGAGGCCCGGGGCCTTGGGAGAAGGGAGGGACGGCCTGACCAGGGCTGAGACTCCCACCACTGACCCAGCGTGGCGCTGGTGCACGACCACACTGCCCAGCAGAACAGACGGGAGAACCCCGAAAGAGAGCGACTGCACGTGTGCTGGCCACGGAGCCAGCAGCCCCTCCTGCCGGCCAAGACGGGGGTGGATGCAGCTCTCTGAGGTGGGCAAGGCCAAGGGGCAGCCACAGGACCCCTTAAGAATGGTCCGTCTGCCTCCATCCTCTGGGGGCCTAGAATGACGATCAGGGCTACGAATGCCAAACGGAAACAGACAAAACACCAAACTAAGTAAAAGGACAAGGTACTGTGATCCAGTCTACCCGACAGTGTTCTGGAAACAGACAAAAGAAGGACTAAGATTCTCTCCCCACTGCAGGAAACGGGCAGGCATCCCCAGGGGTCCCCGGTCCCCAGTAGGAGAAATGCAGGTGAGCCTAACCAAAAGGCCCAATAAATTCGTGATTTGAGAACCACAAACAGAAACTCCCGGGATGGTCTTTCTCAGCTGTCGCAGGGCAAGCCCCGAGGGTGTCACCCCACCCGCTGCTGGGGCCGGGACCTGGGCTCTGACCTGTCAGCACACTTGCCCTGGTTCTCACTCGGGACCCACACTACCGTTTTACCCACGTATGCGACCGTTAGGTCCTGAAAGGCAATCTCAGAGACTGGTAAGCGGAGAGACGAACGGCGGCGCACCCCCGAGAGCCTGCCTCCCGGACGGCAGACGCGGGGCCTGACAGCGGGGCCCGCGAGCGCCAGAGAAGCCGGAGACCGGCCGCCAGCACACCGTCACTGCTGGTGTGCGCAGCGCAGGGGCTGCGTCCGGGCGACAGCACCAGCGCGCCCCCAGGGCGAGATCAGCAGGTACCAAGATGCCCCTGCGGCAGGGCGGGCACGGACCCGGAATCGGGCGGGAATCGTAACCGCCACAAGCCCGTCCGAGCCCACAACGTGGTCTCTCTTAGAACAGAGCAGCGAGGGGCGCCAGCGTGGCTCAGTGGCTCTGGGTTTCGGCTCAGGTCATGACTTCGGGGTCCTGAGCACAGGCCCCACGTCGTACTCCCTGCTCAGCGTGGAGTCTGCTTGTCCCCCTGCCTCTGCCCCTCACCCCACCCTGCCCCGCGCTCACGCTCTCTCTCAAGTAAACGAGATGAAAAACAAGCAGGGGCGCGTGGGGGGCTCAGTGGGTTGAGCGGCTGCCTTCGGCTCAGGTCATGATCCCAGCGTCCTGGGATCGAGTCCCACATCGGGCTCCTTGCTCGGCGGGGAGCCTGCTTCTCCCTCTGCCTCTGCCTGCCTCTCTGTCTGCCTGTGCTCGCTCTTGCTCCTCTCTCCTGACAAATAAATAAATAAGATCTTAAAACAAAAAACAAAAAAACAAAAAAACAAAACAAGCAAAAGCAGAGTCCCCGCCCCGGCCACTGAGGTGTTCTAGACCTAGACGGAAAACGGCTCCGGGGGAGGCTCTGGGCCAGGGTCCCGGGCGTGTGTCATCTCTCAGGCTGGATCACTTCCACCTCCGAGTGACAACACAGCGGCCCACAGGTGACCCAACGCTCTCACCACAAGCCGACACTTCCCCCTCGGGGCCGGGTCAGAGCCCCACACCATGGGCACGAGCGCACCCCCCCCCCCGCCCCGGTCCCGGGAAGCCGCTTACTTTCTCCCGTGAGATCTTCTTCTTGCCACAGCCGTCGCAAGTCAAGGGGAACTTGGGACAGACTTCGTGATGCGCCTGAAAGACAGCAGTCAGGGGCCAGGGCGCGCGTGAGGTCACCCGTGCCATCTCGTGGTCTCACTCTGGGGCAGCAGCTCCTGAGACCCCCAACAGGGTGGGTCCTGCAGGCGCTCAGAAGCACCGGAGGTGAGAGCCGCCCCCTCATCTGGCAGCTCCAGGGCACCACGGGAAGGACAAGCCACCAGTGGTGACTCGGGGGGACAGTGCTGCTGGTCACCCGAAACCGGGCCACAGAGGGGGCCAGTGGCCTCTCTGGCCCCGAGGAGCAAGGCTGGCAGGACGGGCCACGGCCCTGCAAGGGGCAGGAACGCCTCCGGGAGGCCCCCCACAGCGCCCCAATGCAGTCTGGCCCTCAGGAGGCCTCCACACAGACGGCTCCAGACGAGGGGACTGAGGAACGCAGCAGGGGACCCTTGGGGACACCATCGGCCAACCCTGCAGCCCCGCTGTTTCAACAAATAGACGGAAAAGACAAGAAAGACACCCCCAGAGCGCCATTACAGATGAAAAGACCTTGTAGACACGTCATCGAGAAGCAGTGAGGGAACAGATGCCACAGACGCCACAAAACGTGGGCACCGAGTGAGGCAGGGACGGCAGGGAGTTGCCAGTAAGACCCAGAAACGAGAGCAACGCGCACAGCTCTCCAGAGACTCAAGAATTTAGAGAGAGAATGACACAAAGCCTGAGACCCATGGGGTAAGCGTGGGGATCCCGACACGGCCTGGCACGTACGGACACGGGTGGGTGAGGGCGGTGTGGGCCTTGCACTGCCGCTGTGTGTGTGCACCTGCTACGCTAAAACAGCTTTTTAAAACGCGTCAGCTCTGCTTTCATCCCCAAACCAGGTCCCCACCCAGAACCCTCTACCTCGTGGCTGGGAGGGAAGGGCCGGGGCACGCAGCCGAAGCGCCAAACCGGCCACAGCGGCAGAAGGCGCGGCTCAGCGGTGTGGTGATGGCCCCACGGGGCCAGGCACCCTCACCTTCATGTCTGCCCAGCAGCAGGGCGCCCGGCAGTGCCGGCAGCTGAGGCTTCTCTCCGGGCACTCGTGCTCTGAGTGACGCTCCTTCTCCCCAAGGCGGACCAGGCCTTTGCACGCCGGGCACTCGGTCAGCGTGAACGGGCAGCGTCCTTCATGGCAGCTCTGGCAACAAAGGCAGCAAAGCGTCAACAGGGTGCACAGGGGACACTACAGGCCGCCGTCACCCGGCCTCATGTGCATACGGAGACGGCCACCCTGCTGAGGGCCACTGGGACCTGCGCCGACCCCACAAGTGCCAGATGAGGGGTGCCGCCCCGCGTGCCCCAATCTCATCCGCTGCAGGACCTGTGCTCCAGGTCAGAGGCGAGGAGGACTCAAGTCTAGCTGTTGGCACCCTGCCCACGTGATACCCCACAACATTCCTCCCTGGGGATGCTCCGGAGTGACACTCGGGGACAAGAGGACCACTGTCCAGATAGCGAGAGGGGCCACTGAGGGCAGAGACGGCGTGGGGTACAGAGAGCAGGAGCAGAGGGAGGGCACTCCACAGGGTGGCAGAGCCCAGGCCCCAGGTGGAGGGCCTAGAGCAGGGCCGGTTCTAAGTGGACAAAAGGCCCAGGAGTGACGGGAGTCTCTGTGCTGGGAGGAAGGCCACGCAGCCAGCCTGAGCAGAGAAGGACCGGGAGCCCCGAACTCGTGCCAAGTCCCTCTCTGACAGCCCGCACAGGCGGCATGGACAGGGAGGGTGTGTGGTGACCAAGGGAGGCCGGGCCCAGCCTGGGGCCCTCCAGCCGCCTGCACCTGGGAGGAACGTGCGGGGAGGCGCGGCGGAGGTGGAGGGAGGAGGGAGGGCAGGCGCTGCCCCGCTGGAGCCACAGAAGCACGCGGGTGGGCGCGGGAACCCGGCTGAACCTCAGCTGCCAGCTTTCCCGAGCGTGAGCAGGACACTGTGGGAGGGGGCTCGGTGCCAAAGGTGGGGAAGGGCAGCGGCAAGAACCCGAAGCCCGTCCCAGGCCGGCCTTGCAGGGCCCAGAGCCCACGGTCCCACACAGCCTGCAGGCCCGTGGCGAGTCTGCCAGGAAGGGGAACGGCAGAGGGACACAGGGCAGAGGAACGGGGAGCTCCAGGCTTGTTTGCTGTTAAGTGTTTCTATTGTGGTAAACCATACAGGACATAAAGTTTACCATCTTAACTGCTTTTAAGGGCGCCAAACACATTCACGCTATGGGGCACTATCCCCTCCATCTGTCCGCAGAACAAGGTCATCGTCTCACACTGGACTCTGTCCCACTGAACCCTGTGCCCGGCCCCACCCCGCCCCCGACCCCCCGCGTCTGTGGGTCCGATGCCTCCGTCCTCCAGCGAGTTTCCACTCACACACAGAATTGGTCCTTCTGTGCCGGGATAACCTCACTCAACACCACGTAAGAAGTTTTAGGCAGGACACACTAGGGCACACTGGGGATGACAAGGAGCCTGCTAGGGAAGGAGGCGAGGTCACCGTGAGAGGAAAGTTCTGGACTGGTCCAGAGCAGGAGGAAGCCGTCTGCCGTGGGCTCAGCATCTGCACAGAGCTCTGGGCTGGGGCAGCCATGGGGCGCGGTGCCCTCCGGAGGGACTGGGTCTTCAGGGCTTCCCCCGCAAGCTTGGCCGTGGTGCATTTGAAGGCAGCAGGAGGGCCTGAGACGCGCTGTTCCCGGGCGGGGAACATGCTGGCCGTGTCTCCAACCCGTGCCACAGGCTTGGCTGTTGGGGCAAAAGCCCAGCACTTCCAGAGGGAACAGAAGCCACGGGTGAACTCCAGGGACATGTCTGGGGGGGCCCACTACCCGCCCACGGGGACACACTCCAGACCCAACGCCACGCTCCCAGCAGGCCTCCCTGTTAGCCACCGCGGCCCAACCGAGCACCGCACAGGCTGCCATGCTGTAGGAAGGCCGCACACCAGGCTAGCTGGCCAGGACACCACACGCCGCACGACGGCCCAGCAGAGGGCCAGCCCCACGCTGTCACCGCAGCCCGGCTCCCTGCCACTCCCTGCCGACGTGGCCTGGCCCCCACAACCCACCTGCACTGCAGCAGAGCCCGCCTTCGCCGAACCCCCAGGATCCCCGGGGGCTGTGGCAGACGGACGCCATGCAGGACCCCGTGACCCAACGATAGGCAGCATCTGGGCTACGCCGACCTCGTAACAGTCACAACGCACCCAGGAGGAGTCCCAGAAGTGATCGCAGCTCACGAGACGGAATACGGTACCCGCAGACAGGCTGCTCGAAGTTAGTTAAGGACGCTGACCACATGGCGGGACACCTGGGGATCGCTGCGGGGGGCCCCCGAGGCAGCACAGAGCGAGCTGGCACCAGCGAGACAGCAAGGGGGCACGGCCCTCCGCTGACCGCCATCCGCAGCGGGTCCGACCTCGGACACCTGCACGCCTGTCACCCCAGGACCGCCTCGGAGCAGGCGCGGGGCACCCCGCCCTCGCGGGATCAGAGAGACGCGCACTCTGGAGAAATCGGTATTTATTCAAGCAGAATTCCAGCTGTCTCCGCGAGCAGCGCTGTGCTGCCTCAGAATTCGCTGGGACGTGTTGGGGGACGGAGCACGCCTGCCCCGGCCTCGCCTTTCAACTGTGGCCTCCGGTGACCTGTGTCCCTCTCCGGCGCTTCTGCGGAGAGCCTTTCCCCGGCCGGCCAGGCCCTCCTGCGCCGCCACCACAGGCCCGCGCCCACTCGGGGCCACCTTTGGCACTTGGCAGGTGCTCCGCAAACGCCTCTGACCCGAACTGGAGGTTTAAGTTACTGCCTTCTTAGAAAATATCAGACATTGCTGCAAAGGAAAATCTCATTCAAAGGCTAACCAGGAATTTCCGAACAGCTCAGCCGCGGCACCAGCATTTCACAACGCCACCACGAGTTTGAGCTCCGCCAAGGGCAGCCAGGTTGGCTCGGAGTGGAGGACGGGTGTGCACGGAGGCCTTGATCTCGCTCAGGCCTGTGACGTTCACAGCCAAGGACAGGTTTAACCAAAGGGCCAGGCCTAGTGTCCCAGAGCAGCGCCCGCCCTCCCACATGACCAAACCCACCCTCTCAGGGACTTTCCGGGGCTCTCCGGGCCAGCCAGGGACTTTCCAGCCTACATGCCTGCAGGGCCGTGGCCGAGCCCACAGGCTGGCTGCGGTCCCTGGCCCAAGGCCCACGAAGCCACCACCCGCCTGCACTATGGGCCCGGAGGCAGCAGAAACCAGCCTCTCAGACTGGAAGGTGGGGGTGATTCCACCTGTGCCCAGGGCGTCTCTGGGTCCCTGCAGAAGGCAGCACATCTCCCGTGCCTGCTCCCTACGCCCCACAGAGCCTCCTATACCCACCCAAGCCCCAGAGCCTGCTCAGGCTCTCCGCCCTCCCAGGAGAGACTCACAGACCCAAGGCCTCCTCTCCGGACAACCCCAGGTAGTCGGAGCTGCCTCTTCTGCTGAGCAGAATCTCTGCCTGCATGGCACAGCCCAGGGGCCTCTGGGTCTCAGGCCTGGGAGTCTGGGAGTCTGGGAGGCACCAGATAGGGCGTGGGGGGCCCAGAGCTGCTCCACTTCTAAGACCCAGGTGCCCGCCGGATGGAAAGTGCATCTCTTAGCCTGCCCCACCAGAGCTTCTCCCTAGACACGGCCAAGCTGCTCTTCTGGAAACACACAGCTTACAGCCCGGAGACCAGGGAGTCTGATTGGTCAAGGGAACAAGGGAAGAGGCACCTGGGGGGGCTCAGTGGGTTAAAGCCTCTGCCTTTGGCTCAGGTCACGGTCCCAGGGTCCTGGGATCAAGTCCGGCATTGGGCTCTCTGCTCAGCAGGGAACCTGCTTCCTCCTCTCTCTCTCTGCCTACCTCTCCCCCTACCTGTGATCTCTGTCAAATAAATAAATAAAATCTTTAAAACAAAAGGAAACAAGGGAATTTCGGCACACAAGCCAGGAGCAGGAAGGGAGAAGCCCGCTAGGAGCTCAGGTCCCACTTCCAGCCCCAACGGGCCCTCCACCACCATCACGACAGTGCCCAGTGTCCACCCTATGACAGGGGCTATCCCAGGGCCTGGGGCAGGAGCGTGCCTGAGCTTTGGCGAGCCAGGGTTCCAAACCAACAGCCCATCCAGCCTCGCCAACAGGGCTGCCCACAGCGAGAGGCCAACCCGCCACTCTCCACGACTCTTGGCCTCCCGCCCTGGTGGCCGCCCCACCCCCTCCTGTCTCTCTGGGTGTCACTGCTCCGGGGCCCTCACAGGAGTGGCTCCTACAGGACTAGCCCTTTAGCACGGGCTCACGTCGCTGAGCACAATGGCCTCTGAGTCCACCCATGTTAGGGTTTCCCTCCTTCCTCCGTGTGGCTGGATAGTGGTCCATGGTGCGGACGGACCAAATACGGCTCGTCTCCTCCTCAGGCGGAGGACACCGGGCTACCATGCCGTCTGCGTACGGGCGCCCGTCGGAGCCACGCTAGTTACAAAGCGGGGACAGCCACACGAGCGAGCCACGGCGGCTGCGCCGGTCTGCCCGCCAGCTGCCACGCACGCCGACGCGGGGACGCAAGCCAGCCCTGCCCTGTCACTGGCCAGGGCCTCTCTGCGGCCACAGCCCGAACACGCAGGATCCTCCTGCCACTCCCAACGTCCACGCGATTCTAAGTAAGAAAGCCCTTGTCTGAAAACACCCAGGAAGATCCCACCAAGCAAAAAAGCTCCTTTCCTGCACGTTCCGGGAGATGTGGCCATGGTGCCCTGAGAGCCAGCACGACATCTGCCACACGCTGTCCCCTCGCGGCCACCCCGCCATGGCATCCTGCCGAGCGGACAACTGGGCCCAGCCACAAAAGTCTTCCCCCGAGGCACGACCCCCGTGAGTCCCCGCGTTTGGAGGGCGAGCAGCCACGGGCTCCCCGTGCAGGCTCCGCACGACCACTCTGGGGGCGGGGTTCAGGCTCGGAGGCCGTGCCGGCGCAGGGGGCACCCACCTCATACTCTTTAAGGGTCCCCTTCCAGGTGCAGCCGTCACTGGGACAGACAGCCGGCAGGCTCTCCACCTCCCTGCGCGCAGCGTTGTCTGGGAAAGCCTGAGGAAAGCATTCCGAGGGTCAGGCCTCCTCCTCCCAGCTGCCCGCCGCTGACCCCGCCCCCGAGACCGTGAGGCTCCCAGACCCAGGCCCAGGCCCGAGACACCTCTGGCGCAGCCGCTCCCAGCTCTGGACGTGACCGTGGCTGGGAGGGCCGCATCCCAGCGGTTCCGGCACCACGCGGCCCTCGGGAGTGTTAGAAAAACACCAGAACGTTTTCTGTGCGTTTTTTGCTTGAAGACTTTTCACTTACCGAACCGCTTTCCAAAATAGAGACGCCTTCCTCATATATGCCCTCGTGAACGCAGGCGGCGCAGTTCTGAGGCCCGGAGCTAGCGAGGAAGGGGGAAGGCCGGCCATCACACCGGACGTGGAGGGCGCGGGCGCCTCGGGCCCAGCGCCAGTCCCCGCTGCACTCTGGCCTTCTGGCCCGGCCCTCGCCCCTCGTGAGCTCGCACGCGGGCTCCGCGCTGAAGATCTCGGAGCTGGGGGAGACCCGCACCCTCCGACCGCGAGACCGCCTGCCCTGCGACACAGGGGCTCTCGGCGCCCAGCCCCGCGTCCACGGGCCACTTGGAGTGGCCGCCGGGGGCTACTGCGTACGTGTCCATCCCCTGGAGCGGTGCACCCTGTGCAAATGCCCGAGACAGTCGCGGGCCAGTGAGGGGTCCCGCGCCCATGCGACCCACAGGAGGTGGCCGGAACGGTGTGTATGTCACTCCCCGCGGCCGCAGTGCCCAGACACTGTGCAGCCCCGCCTCCCCGGCTCTGGACTTCACACTGTTGTGAGCCCGCGCCTCTGTCCTCAGGGACAGCCCCGGAGCACACGTGCGGGCATCGCCCGCCGTACCTGAGGATGCTGGTCAGACAGGAGGAGCAGTAGCGGTGGCCGCACTGTGCCTGGAAAGGCCTGCGCAGCACGTTCCTGCAGGCCGAGCACAGGTACTTGTCCTCCGGCTTGGTCCCCAGGAGGGTCTTGGAGAAGCCGGGCTGCAGCAGGTCTAGGGAGCCGGGAGGGGTCGCGCCGGCCGCAGCCATGAGAGCCGCGCACCGCCGCGCCCTGGGGAAGAACAGAGAGCAGGTCACGGGGTGGGGGGGGTCCTTGGACGGGCCCCAACGGCGGGGCCACAGCCCCTGCCCGGCAGTGAGGGGTCTGGGCTGAACGGCGGTGGAGGGTGGAGGAGTGGCACCCAGCACTCCGGAGGAACCGGGAGCCGCCAGCCCAACCGACGCACGCACAGGGCCGAGGCTCAGCACGCCCACCCGGAGCCTCCACACCCACCGGCCGCCCTCAAGGTCACCCAGCCCACTCTGCCGTGACCCATGGGCAGAGCGCACGCCGGATGCCACCTTCCCGCCAACACCGGCCATCCTCTGTCCTTGATGCCTGCACCTTCCTGACTAGCCCAAACTTCCGACAGTCGGCCGGCGGGAAATCTGACCGGCCCGTGCCCAGTCCCAGGCAGCAGCCAGGAGGCGGCCACTCTAGACGTCGGCCTCTCCAGTGTCACCCCCGAGGAGGCATGCAGCCCGCCTGGCACCACTGCTCTGCTCTCCAGCCACCGTCACCAGGTCCCTCTCATTTGGGAGCTGCCCTTTGCTATCCCCCAGGCCTTGGCAAGGCTGCTGGGGTAAGGCAACCAGGACGCACGAGCTGGACAGGGGACAGGCTTCCACGGCCTTCCGAGCCCTTGCACGGCACACACTGTTCAACGTCCAGTATTTCAAAATCAACTGGCCCTGCCAACCCCGAGCAAAGGACAAGGACCCAGCAACCCGAGCATGAATCAGTGTTCACTCCGAGCTGCCCAGCCCCGCCACCAACGCTCCAAACAGCTTCCTTCCCCAAATGCCCCTGGAAACACATCCCTGTGTCTTCTCCCGCATGTGCGAGGGGAGCACAACAACTTTCAAACCAGGATGTTCTGAAAGGATAGGCCTCTTGCCTACGCCTGTAAGTCTGTCTTCATTGTCCTGAGCCGTCCGGACAGCACAGGAAGCAGCGACAGTGTGTCCCTGTCTCCCATCTACTGGGCAAACCGCCTTCCAACGAAGGCTTCTGGATCTGTCAGGCCTGCCCGGGCTGGCAAGGCAGAACACACAGGTTCTAGCTCTATAACCGGCCGTTACTCCTCTGACCACTGGGCAGACGGGGGTGGGGGGTGGTGCCCGCGGCCGCTCAGCAGGACAGCAAGAGCCCCTCTCGCTGGTCACACGCCGTCAGCACGTGTGGGCGTGTCTGGGCCCCCACACCATCTGTCAGTCCCTTTGACGACGAGGGGATGTCATTCTCTCCAGCCGTCAGGACACAGACACGTAGGCACTAGAAGGTACCATCAATAGGCCCTCTGGTGGAAAAGCTAACCCAAGAGCCTGAGAGCTCACGGGCGCATGCACAGTGCTGGCCAGGGCGACCGAGGTGGGAGGACGTCCTCAGCCCACAGTCTTCAAGGCCACGTTTGCACGACAAGCACTGACCGAGCAAAGGACTTGTCCACGTGCGCTTACTCTCAGGGGAGACACCCTGCGCGTCCCGCCTTTCTTCGGGGCACGCTACGAAACCAATTTCACGACCCATCAATGATCTGACAGTCACTGCTCTATGGACTACGTGAGATGGAGACTTTTACCTTTAAGTAACGCCAACCACAGCAACGAGACACGCTTCACGCCTGTTTCACGTTCAACTCGTTAAGTGAAACAACACAAGAAGGACTCCACCCTCACAAGCGTGTTTCACACGGACGGGAAAAAGTAAGAGAGAAACAAACCCCATCGTGACAGGGTACAAGGGCTATGGGTGACGCTCTCCTCTCTTTAAGACTGCACGGAGCCGCCTCCCTCAGCGCCCGGGAGTCGCGGGCGTTCCATCTGCTGGAAGCCGGGCCCGGCTTTCTGGCCGACTGAACTCACTGCACTAATCCATCAAAGGACTCCCGTGAGCTCTAGAAGAACCACACGAATGGCCTCTTTTCTGAGTGATGAGGAAGGTAAAAGGCCATGACACGCAGCCAGGCCTCCATGACCTCACCAACACAGCCTGCTCAGTGGTCACAGCTGGCAGACACGGTGGCGCTCTGTGCTTCTGCTCTGAACGTGGAGAAGTGGCCCTGGAGAGCCCGAGGAGCCTGGCCACACCTCGCACTGGCCCGGGGTCCCAGCACCGCCCATGCTGTGCCTGCAGGGCTCCCAGCTTCCGTCCCTAAACGTGTTGTTCAAATCTCATTCGTAAACACATCTGAACTTTTGAGAACTGCAACGAAACACATCATGAAAACTCAAAAGCGTTGTTCCAAAATGTGACACTTTGAGGGGTGCCTGGGTGGCTCAGTGGGTTAGGCGTCTGCCTTCGGCTCAGGTCATGATCCCAGGGTCCTGGAATCGAGTCCCACATCAGGCTCCCTGCTCTCCCTCTGCTTGCGGCTCCCCCGACAAACAAATTAAAAAAAAAAAGTAACACTTTAAAGGCCGTCACCACGTTAAGTCCCGCTGCTGTGCTGCGATGCTTGCCTCAGCCCCAGAAGAAGACTTCCCTGCCTCTGACCCTGAACCTCAGAACGTCTAGGTGGTCTGCCCACACCCACCCATCTGAAATGACACAGGCCTGGGGGCCTCCCTGGATGAGCAGCGCGGCCGCCACACGGACACAGGCGCCCGGGCGGGGGGCAGGCCAGCCAGCGACTGCGTGCAGGAGTCAGCAGCACCCCAACCTAGAGCCCCAACACCCTACTGGTCCCGTCAAGCTTCCAAATCCTCTTCCGGGGAAGTCGGCTATGAACCATGCCCATTAGCAGTGACTTGCGGGAAGGCGGGAACAAGCCCTCTGACTCCACCTGTCCTGGATTTCACACTCACTCGTTCCCCCAAATCAGGCTTCAGACACAAATGCACGAAGTTCCTACAACGAACAGATTTGTGTTTTGTTAAAAGGGCATTTCTAGGGGCGCCTGGGGGGCCCAGTGGGTTAAAGCCTCTGCTTTCGGCTCAGGTCATGATCTCAGGGTCCTGGGTCTCTGCTCAGCGGGGAGCCTGCTTCCCCCTCTCTCTGCCTGCCTCTCTGCCTGCTTGTGATCTCTGTCAAGTAAATAAATAAAATCTTTAAAAAAAAAAAAAAAGAGCATTTCTACCAGACACAAAACAGTACTTCCAGAACGTTCCAGCTACCCAAAGCTTGACCCTGGGACAGCAGAAGCCGGGAGGCAATCCCCTTGGGCGGCATGGGGCTGTAACCTGCCAGATACTCCCTCCTCTTCCCTGTTCCTGGCACAAAGCTCCTAAAACCCCTGGGATTTCCTGAGCCACAGGGACAGGGGGGCCTCTCTGTTATTCATAAGCCCCTTGTACACCCACCCCCGCCCAAGGCCAGGGAGCGGGGAGGGGCTGGAGGCTGACCTCATCACCAACGACCAATAATTTAATCAATCCTGCTCTCGTGACAGAGCCCCCCCCCCCCAATGCCCTGAAGAGTGAGGCTCAGAGCTCCCGGGCTGGGGACAGTCACGGTGCTGAGAGGCGGTGTGCTGGAGAGCATGGAAGCTCGCATCCCCGCCCCATACCTCACCCTGTGCGTCTCTCCCATCTACGATTTCTTGGAATCCATGTTTGCGGGAGTTTCCTGAGCCACTCCAGAAACCACTGAGCCCACGGATGGGGTCCCAGGAACCACATATTTGGTGTCAGAAGGACCATGAGTAGAAAAACAGCCATTTTCCATTCAGGGGGTCAGTGCCTCCACACCAACCAACGGGAGCAAGAAGGAGCCTCTCGGGGCACCAGAAGTGCCCGTACACATGGGTGAGCGTGCACCTCGCCCTTACCTTAGGGCTCACACATTTTGTCGCATATATACCTCAACCTCAAAAAAAAATTTTAAAAAGATGGAATTTCTATTCCCAAAGAATCAAAAAGGGCCTTAAGTCCCTAATAAATCCCTAATCCTCTCCAAAATGACCTTGTCTCGTAATATTGAAAATGGCAGAGCAACCTGAAAACCAGTTTCTGACCTGGAAGAAGCCCCCCAGAGAGGGGGGGCATCTAGCCCCTGGACAAGCTCAGGTCCTGCCTCAGTGCGGAGCACAAGGACCCAGGGAAAGGGGCATCCCTGTGAGAAATCGCCGGCTGAGCTGGAGGCCACAGGGCAACTGGCCCCACCGTCCCAGCCTGGGACATGAGCACAGGGCAGTGGTGCAGGTCCCCCCCCCCCCCCGAAGGACAGGCTCTCTCCTTCCGACAACCAGGCGCCGCCCAAACTCCTAACAGATGAGACACGGGGGTGCCTGGCTGCCGGGCAGGAAGGGGGGACATCACCATGCCGCCAGCAGACACACGGGTTCAACCCTCAGCCGGTGACACCCTGAATGCCAGGGACCCAGCTCTCCAAGTTCACATCCCCACTGACAGCTCCATTTTGTACGACACCAAGATTCCACGTCTCACTTCACCTGCTCGCACCCAGGTCCCAGGCCGGCCGAGAAGCCCACCGAGGCAGTGCTCAAGAGCTCCCATCAGCAGGGGAGCCCAAGACCCCCCCCCCCCCAGCCCCGGACTGGAAATCCACTGTAAAATTATAAGTTTTACTGAAGTTCACCTTTTTCCAGGCTCAGGTACTGCCAGAGAGCAGCCTGGTACCAACTGTACAGCCAACACCTGCTCCTACTACAGCATCGGCATCGCGAGCCAACGCCGTGCAGGCGCTTCTGGTCCAGGCGTGTGCTCCCGTGTCTTCACGCGACCGCCACCCTGAAGCTCAGTGTCTGTGATTCAAGACCAGGGCTCTCAGCAGGGACAGGGTGATCCGTCGGTCATGGTGCAGCGACTCTCCAGTCCTCCTGGCCCAGGTGACTGCCCTGCTCCCCTGCCCCACCCCCTGACCTCTAGGAGTCAGTGCCCGCACTTCCCCCTGCCCCCCTCAACAGCTGGGCCCCCACCTCAGCCAAGAAGCACCCCCTCAGCTGCTGCAGCCACATTCTCCGAGACCGCTCTCTCTCACCCACCCACCATGAGCGTGTTAGTGAATCCCGCAGCACCCCCCACCCTGCAAACACCGGGAATCAGAACACACTGCTACGGCCAGACCCTGGCCGCCACCACCGTGACCGGCCCTCCGGGCAGCCAGAGGGGCCTGCCCCATGGTTCCACCCAGCGCCCTGCCGTCCGAGGGCTGGGCTTTATTGACAAAGCCTTCCCTCTCAGCGGTCAGGAAACCGCACTGCACAGGCCGGTCTCTTCTAGAACGCAAGCTAGGCACCAGCAGGTAGGAACTGGGAGGGCAGGAGGGGGGACACAGGCCATGTCTCCCAGACTCGCCGCTCCTCCATGGACTCCTCTGCCCATTAGTCCCGCCTTTCCTCCACACCAGTCCAAATGGGGCACCTCAATCCTTGATCCCGCACGAGCCAGCCCTGCTGAGGCTCCCCTATTCTACCCCCTACCCCCAGCCCTGCTGAGTACTCGCCTTCCTAAGCCACAACCGGGTCACGAGACCCCGGGCTCCACTGCCCCCAGGTCCCCGCTGGGAATGTGGCCTCAAGCCTGTTCCTGCGCAGACCCTGGACGGTTTCTGTGGAGCCTGCCTCTTGCGTGCCCCTCCTGGGCTCAGACCCTCTGTCCAGGGGTGGGAGACTGTGGTGACACCGTGACATGTCCTCCCTGTGGACACAAGGGCCAGGCCCTTGAGAGAGCGGTCCTCACTCCTCTCCACGCGGGAGCAGGCCCAGTGCACAGAGAACGGCGCCCCAAGCACAGGCCTGGACTCCAGCGCGCAGTGAAGACAGGTGCGCTCCCCATTCCTGGCATCACGCATGCGGTCTGCGGGTGACTCTTCCCAGATTTTCTTCTCTGGACCTCCTGGCCCTCGCCTCTCCACATCTGTGGCGTCCTGCTGGTGCACCGACCATGCCGGTGGGAGGGCGGGCGGGCGGGAATTTCCCACAGATCCGACTCTCAAAACACGCGCCGAAAAGGCCTTCATCTTCCTGGAGACAATGGTTTCTCCAGGAACAAGTGACCACCACTGAGTCCTGTGCTCTAGTCCCCAAATTACAAGCACAGCTACAACCCACTCCTTCAGGTCCCCAATGAAATGGCGTCTGCATTTACCTCCCCAGGAAGTTTAAAACCCACTTGAGAGAACCCCCAGCTGAAAGCCCCCTCCACTCGGAGCCCCCCACGAGGGAGCCAGCAGGGCAGGGCAGCAGCCTTCACTCCGTCCCTCCCACCGCACCGGTCTTCACAGGCTCCTGCCCTGCGCCATGCCTGGTGCTGAGGACACTGAGGCAGGGGCGGGCTGGGACCACACAGCACAATGGGGCCACAGGACACAAATTTGTGACACTGCAGGGCACCGGAAGGATACATGGTGCAGACTAGGCATGTGGGGAAGCACCTGCAGCCAAAAGGGCTAGACCAGGAGCGCCCCAGTGTGGGGGGATGCGGACTCTTGCTTTTGACTCAGGTCACGATCTGAGGATTGCCGGATCGACTGAGCCCTGTGTCAGGCTCTGACAGCGGGGAGTCTGCTGGAGACTCTCCTTCTGCGCACCCCCCCCCCCCCTCCACACCGTCACCCTCCCCCTCAAAAAAAAAAAAAAAACAACCAAAAAAAAAAAAAAAAAAAAAAAGGCCTGCACAGAGCCCCTAAGTGCCAGTGCATGCCTTCAGGAGCCAGGGCCTCAGGGGCTGGGCTTTATTGTGGGAACCAAGCACCCAGGGAGAGGGGCTGCCCAGATGCGTGGGGTGGAGAAGCCACCGCCAGAAGCAGCGAGGGCCTCTGGGGCTTGCGAAGGGCTGAAGCGAAGCCGTACTGCACTTGCCCGGCCAACACTGCGAGGCTGGTTGAGACGGCCACCTAAACCCCCACTGAGCGGACACAGGCCACGGCCCACCCAGCCCCAGTCCTCAGTTAGCTGCCGGGCTCCGTGCAGGTCATCAGCTCTCCCGAGCTGCTGTCCTGGGCTCTCCACTGCCATGGACACCCGAACAGGCTGCTCCAAGTTGGCCCACGGCAGGATCCGGACCCCAGTGCCCAAGGCCATCTCCGCGTCCTCACCACCCGCCTCGGATGCTCACCTGGCTCCCACCGACACACGGGACACCCCACCTGCACTGAGGGACAGCGGGATGCCTCAGGGCTGGGACAGATGGGACCGGGGCTGGGAGGAGTCCCAGGACGAGCCCCAGGACGTCGCAGGTGATCCGGAAGAGCAGGGACGCACAGCTCTCTAACCGCCCAGGGCCCTGAGGGTACTCGCTCTCCCTCCGGTGTTCTTGATCCCGGTTCCCCCCTCCAGCTGCCGGGCGGTCAGGACACGAGCACCACACGCACGACCTCGGAACGCGGTCCAAGCGCTCCCTGCTCC